CGGCGGCGAGAAGCAGCCGCAGCGGGAGCTCGACGCCGTCACGCTGGAGGGTGAGGGGCGGGGGAGGCTTTCGCGCATGCGCGGGGGGACCCCGAGGACCCCCCCCCCTCCAGGGGGTTCGGGGGGGGCAGGCACTGCGCAAGCGCCGTGGAAGCCCCCCACACACACCCGGGGGGGCAGCTCGGCGGCACTCGGAGACCACGCATGCGCTGTGGGCGTCCCGGGGACCCCGCCCCAGCCCCCTGGGGGGGGTCTGTTTCCAGTGAAAGTTGTGGCACGTGGCAGAGGGGGGAGGGAGCGGAGAGCAGAGCCGCACATCAGGGCCAGGAGCAGAAAGCACAGCAGCAGGAAGGGCCAAACAGCAAGTTGGATAGGGAAAACAGGGCCTCAGAGCAGGCAGGGAGTAGAGCAAAAGCCAGGGCAGGCAGCCTCACCACAGATGGGGTGGGGAGCAGAAAGCAGAGCCACAGCCAGGACAGGAAGCACAGAGCAGAGCCACAGACCGGGCAAGAGGCAGTGACAGCTGGGGCAGAGCCCCAGGTAGGACTGAACACAGGGGAGGAAGCAGACAGTAGAGCAGCAGGATGGGCAAGGCTAGGAGCTGGGAGTGGCATTTGGGAAGACTGGGATTTAGCTTGTGGCACGCTTGCCAGAAATGGGCACACCTATCTGTGTCCAGGATGAGGAGCAGGTGCATCACCAGTTTGATTCCCTGGGATTGCTGTGCCCCTCAGAGGGCTACCTTTGTGAGAGAGCCTGCCTGAGTCTAACACCTGCCTGGTTTTCCCTGGGCTGTTGCAGATATCAAAGAGCACGTGAAGCAGCTTGAGAAGGCTGTATCTGGAAAGGAGCCTCGCTATGTTCTCCGTGCCCTGCGGGCCCTGCCCTCCACCTCCCGCAGACTCAACTCCAATGTGCTCCACAAAGCCATTAATGGCTTCTTCACCTCCAACAGCACTGTACGGGACTTCCTGCTGGCCTTCCTGGAGGAGGTTAGTTGGAGAAGGGCATGGGAAAGGAGACTACGGAAGATGCTGATGGGGAGGGAAAGGTCAGGGAGCCCAGGGGCTTGAGTTTATTCAAATATGCAACTGGTTTGTTCAGGAGCATATGGGAGGGGGTGTAAGTCCAGTTCCAGCGGAAGCTGCATTTGTATATCAAAATCTCACATGGGCACCTGTGCTGGCATTGCCACCAGGCCTATGGAAAACCATTTGGACTGTGGAAACCAGTTGGACTTTTTCCCCCAGCAGTGATTGAGCTGAGGCACACAGGGAAAGGATGGGAAAGTTTCTAGGGCATCAGTGGTGGATATGGTATATCTACATTGAAGTTCCTGTGTGAATAAATGAAGAGCTGCATGGCTGTGCATCCACCATGTTTTGCTCTCTCTCCCTGCAGCCTATGGACACAGAAGCAGAGTTGCAGTTCCGTCCCCGGACGGGAAAGGCAGCATCAGCCCCTCTCCTGCCAGAAGTGGAGACCTATCTTCAGCTGCTCTTGGTCATCTACCTGATGAACAGTAAACGATACCCAGAGGTAAAGCCCCGGGCCTGTTCTGCACGCTGCATCAGCCAGTGCATGCTGCATCTTTCCCAGTACCGAAACCTACACAATGACTTTTTTGGAGCCAGTGTGGCTGTAGGGTCAGACAGAAACAGATTGGCGAGCTTGGGCACTGTCCATCGCCTTTAAGGCTGCTGCTGAGCTCTACCAAAAATATTAAAGCTAGCCTTGAAGCATATATATTGATGGTAGTAGAACATCAGAACTGAGCAGCCTTGTGCTGTACCCCATAAGGAGAATAAGTCGAAGGCAGAGGAATTGCCGCT